ACCATTTTAACGACCTATCATATGGAAATTACACCAAATTTGGTAATTTTTTGAGGTATTTCAGTCATTTTTGAGCGCCCATAAAAAACTTACCCCTGGGGCTAGAGACTCAAACTTTTCTCCATTTTGTAGAACGTACCTTTTCTAATGAAATGGCACTAGGTGCAAATAGATGTGGGGTTGAGACATTTTTTTCTCAAATTTATAGCAAAGGTCTACATCGCGTCAAACCAGCCGACCATTAATTCGCGAAAAATTGACAAAAATCGGAAAAATTCCGTGATTCTGATAAGTGATTCGATATTCGCACCCTCAAATTAGTACCTAAACGTATTTTTAGCCCAATCTGTGACTTGAAAAAAATCGACCATTTTAACGACCTATCATATGGAAATTACACCAAATTTGGTAATTTTTTGAGGTATTTCAGTCATCTTTGAGCGCCCATAAAAAACTTACCCCTGGGGCTAGAGACTCAAACTTTTCACCATTTTGTAGAACGTACCTTTTCTAATGAAATGGCACTAGGTGCAAATAGATGTGGGGTTGAGACATTTTTTTCTCAAATTTATAGCAAAGGTCTACATCGCGTCAAACCAGCCGACCATTAATTCGCGAAAAATTGACAAAAATCGGAAAAATTCCGTGATTCTGATAAGTGATTCGATATTCGCACCCTCAAATTAGTACCTAAACGTATTTTTAGCCCAATCTGTGACTTGAAAAAAATCGACCATTTTAACGACCTATCATATGGAAATTACACCAAATTTGGTAATTTTTTGAGGTATTTCAGTCATCTTTGAGCGCCCATAAAAAACTTACCCCTGGGGCTAGAGACTCAAACTTTTCACCATTTTGTAGAACGTACCTTTTCTAATGAAATGGCACTAGGTGCAAATAGATGTGGGGTTGAGACATTTTTTTCTCAAATTTATAGCAAAGGTCTACATCGCGTCAAACCAGCCGACCATTAATTCGCGAAAAATTGACAAAAATCGGAAAAATTCCGTGATTCTGATAAGTGATTCGATATTCGCACCCTCAAATTAGTACCTAAACGTATTTTTAGCCCAATCTGTGACTTGAAAAAAATCGACCATTTTAACGACCTATCATATGGAAATTACACCAAATTTGGTAATTTTTTGAGGTATTTCAGTCATCTTTGAGCGCCCATAAAAAACTTACCCCTGGGGCTAGAGACTCAAACTTTTCACCATTTTGTAGAACGTACCTTTTCTAATGAAATGGCACTAGGTGCAAATAGATGTGGGGTTGAGACATTTTTTTCTCAAATTTATAGCAAAGGTCTACATCGCGTCAAACCAGCCGACCATTAATTCGCGAAAAATTGACAAAAATCGGAAAAATTCCGTGATTCTGATAAGTGATTCGATATTCGCACCCTCAAATTAGTACCTAAACGTATTTTTAGCCCAATCTGTGACTTGAAAAAAATCGACCATTTTAACGACCTATCATATGGAAATTACACCAAATTTGGTAATTTTTTGAGGTATTTCAGTCATCTTTGAGCGCCCATAAAAAACTTACCCCTGGGGCTAGAGACTCAAACTTTTCACCATTTTGTAGAACGTACCTTTTCTAATGAAATGGCACTAGGTGCAAATAGATGTGGGGTTGAGACATTTTTTTCTCAAATTTATAGCAAAGGTCTACATCGCGTCAAACCAGCCGACCATTAATTCGCGAAAAATTGACAAAAATCGGAAAAATTCCGTGATTCTGATAAGTGATTCGATATTCGCACCCTCAAATTAGTGCCTAAACGTATTTTTAGCCCAATCTGTGACTTGAAAAAAATCGACCATTTTAACGACCTATCATATGGAAATTACACCAAATTTGGTAATTTTTTGAGGTATTTCAGTCATTTTTGAGCGCCCATAAAAAACTTACCCCTGGGGCTAGAGACTCAAACTTTTCACCATTTTGTAGAACGTACCTTTTCTAATGAAATGGCACTAGGTGCAAATAGATGTGGGGTTGAGACATTTTTTTCTCAAATTTATAGCAAAGGTCTACATCGCGTCAAACCAGCCGACCATTAATTCGCGAAAAATTGACAAAAATCGGAAAAATTCCGTGATTCTGATAAGTGATTCGATATTCGCACCCTCAAATTAGTACCTAAACGTATTTTTAGCCCAATCTGTGACTTGAAAAAAATCGACCATTTTAACGACCTATCATATGGAAATTGCACCAAATTTGGTAATTTTTTGAGGTATTTCAGTCATTTTTGAGCGCCCATAAAAAACTTACCCCTGGGGCTAGAGACTCAAACTTTTCACCATTTTGTAGAACGTACCTTTTCTAATGAAATGGCACTAGGTGCAAATAGATGTGGGGTTGAGACATTTTTTTCTCAAATTTATAGCAAAGGTCTACATCGCGTCAAACCAGCCGACCATTAATTCGCGAAAAATTGACAAAAATCGGAAAAATTCCGTGATTCTGATAAGTGATTCGATATTCGCACCCTCAAATTAGTACCTAAACGTATTTTTAGCCCAATCTGTGACTTGAAAAAAATCGACCATTTTAACGACCTATCATATGGAAATTACACCAAATTTGGTAATTTTTTGAGGTATTTCAGTCATCTTTGAGCGCCCATAAAAAACTTACCCCTGGGGCTAGAGACTCAAACTTTTCACCATTTTGTAGAACGTACCTTTTCTAATGAAATGGCACTAGGTGCAAATAGATGTGGGGTTGAGACATTTTTTTCTCAAATTTATAGCAAAGGTCTACATCGCGTCAAACCAGCCGACCATTAATTCGCGAAAAATTGACAAAAATCGGAAAAATTCCGTGATTCTGATAAGTGATTCGATATTCGCACCCTCAAATTAGTACCTAAACGTATTTTTAGCCCAATCTGTGACTTGAAAAAAATCGACCATTTTAACGACCTATCATATGGAAATTACACCAAATTTGGTAATTTTTTGAGGTATTTCAGTCATCTTTGAGCGCCCATAAAAAACTTACCCCTGGGGCTAGAGACTCAAACTTTTCACCATTTTGTAGAACGTACCTTTTCTAATGAAATGGCACTAGGTGCAAATAGATGTGGGGTTGAGACATTTTTTTCTCAAATTTATAGCAAAGGTCTACATCGCGTCAAACCAGCCGACCATTAATTCGCGAAAAATTGACAAAAATCGGAAAAATTCCGTGATTCTGATAAGTGATTCGATATTCGCACCCTCAAATTAGTACCTAAACGTATTTTTAGCCCAATCTGTGACTTGAAAAAAATCGACCATTTTAACGACCTATCATATGGAAATTACACCAAATTTGGTAATTTTTTGAGGTATTTCAGTCATCTTTGAGCGCCCATAAAAAACTTACCCCTGGGGCTAGAGACTCAAACTTTTCACCATTTTGTAGAACGTACCTTTTCTAATGAAATGGCACTAGGTGCAAATAGATGTGGGGTTGAGACATTTTTTTCTCAAATTTATAGCAAAGGTCTACATCGCGTCAAACCAGCCGACCATTAATTCGCGAAAAATTGACAAAAATCGGAAAAATTCCGTGATTCTGATAAGTGATTCGATATTCGCACCCTCAAATTAGTGCCTAAACGTATTTTTAGCCCAATCTGTGACTTGAAAAAAATCGACCATTTTAACGACCTATCATATGGAAATTGCACCAAATTTGGTAATTTTTTGAGGTATTTCAGTCATCTTTGAGCGCCCATAAAAAACTTACCCCTGGGGCTAGAGACTCAAACTTTTCACCATTTTGTAGAACGTACCTTTTCTAATGAAATGGCACTAGGTGCAAATAGATGTGGGGTTGAGACATTTTTTTCTCAAATTTATAGCAAAGGTCTACATCGCGTCAAACCAGCCGACCATTAATTCGCGAAAAATTGACAAAAATCGGAAAAATTCCGTGATTCTGATAAGTGATTCGATATTCGCACCCTCAAATTAGTACCTAAACGTATTTTTAGCCCAATCTGTGACTTGAAAAAAATCGACCATTTTAACGACCTATCATATGGAAATTACACCAAATTTGGTAATTTTTTGAGGTATTTCAGTCATCTTTGAGCGCCCATAAAAAACTTACCCCTGGGGCTAGAGACTCAAACTTTTCACCATTTTGTAGAACGTACCTTTTCTAATGAAATGGCACTAGGTGCAAATAGATGTGGGGTTGAGACATTTTTTTCTCAAATTTATAGCAAAGGTCTACATCGCGTCAAACCAGCCGACCATTAATTCGCGAAAAATTGACAAAAATCGGAAAAATTCCGTGATTCTGATAAGTGATTCGATATTCGCACCCTCAAATTAGTACCTAAACGTATTTTTAGCCCAATCTGTGACTTGAAAAAAATCGACCATTTTAACGACCTATCATATGGAAATTGCACCAAATTTGGTAATTTTTTGAGGTATTTCAGTCATCTTTGAGCGCCCATAAAAAACTTACCCCTGGGGCTAGAGACTCAAACCTTTCACCATTTTGTAGAACGTACCTTTTCTAATGAAATGGCACTAGGTGCAAATAGATGTGGGGTTGAGACATTTTTTTCTCAAATTTATAGCAAAGGTCTACATCGCGTCAAACCAGCCGACCATTAATTCGCGAAAAAATGACAAATAAATTTTTTTAAAACCTACGCAAATGAAAAATTTGGCAGAGAGCTGAATTGGCCTATCACGAAGACTGTGTAAAATTTTCGGAACGATACTCCAAAGGGAATTAGAGTTACGACTCTAAAACTGAAGCTAATACACTTATATAGACTTATTTTGGCTCTGAACTGATCAGGAGTAAGAATCGGTAGAAAATTAAAATTCCTGTACTTATTGCTCAGCAAAATGGTATGGGAAAATAAAGTTTTCATACCGATTCCTATTCCTGAGAAAAGAAAAGGACGAAATAAAAACACGTTTTTCATAGAATCACTAGGTTTAATTATTCACAGTCAATTCTAGGAAAAAGCCCTCTCAATGGGTATAAATAACGGTCAAATAAAGATAAAATCATCATTCAACAATGGCCTGCAAGAGGTGCACATCGGTGGAAGATATGGTAAAAAACCATCCCAAAGTGACGCAATTGGTGAGATTCCTAGAAGAATTCCACAGTCTGAACGAAGACATCCCATGGACTGACAGGGCTCGCATAGCGTGTGCCGCAGTTCATCCAGGCCTGGCCTCATCTTCTACGAAGAAGACGACGGAGTTCGTTGCCAAGAGACGCGACATCATGCGCCGCCACAAGGACTTGGTTCTACGAAGAGAACCAACTAGAGTCCAGGAACCAGCAGCTGAAGTCCAGGAAGTTCCAGCCGAAGACCAGGAGGCACCGGCCGAAGTCCATCAGGTGAAGGTGGTTACCAGGAAGAGGATCCACGCCGACTTGGAAATATGTAACCCTGAAATAATAATTGTAAAAAGAAAAAAACATTAAAAAAAAAAAAAAAATAATAATAAAAATATTGTATTCTTTATCATTATTATAATATTATCGAAAAAAATTAATTTCAATTTTGCTCAAAGAAAGGTACGTTCTACAAAATGGTGAAAAGTTTGAGTCTCTAGCCCCAGGGGTAAGTTTTTTATGGGCGCTCAAAAATGACTGAAATACCTCAAAAAATTACCAAATTTGGTGTAATTTCCATATGTGGAAGTGACTTAAAAAATTATCCAAAAACCAAATTAAACCAGCTTGCCATCTTTCGATAGGAAAAGGTGGATTATTATTTTTTTTTTATCAGTAAAAACTACGTGAAATTTGTTTGCGGTTTTTTAAGCAAAAGTACGGAATTAAACAGCTCGTGGAATCAGCGCACACAATTCTATCGGGAAGTAGACTCCATGAAATACCGCGGGAGCCACGAAACTTAGGATATTTCACGCTGAATTCGAGCAAGAGTAAAAATCGTTATACCAGTATATTATTCGTGAATTCTTTAGCCAATTCTATCGGAATTTTATCATTTCCGACCAATTCCTTTTCCGGAAAGAAATGGCAAGACAAATATTTTTCGATATCATGAAATAATTCATACATAGCTTTAATAGGATTTCAAGACCATATAGCTGATAGAAGAAAAATCATAAAAAAATTTCAGGAAATCCCTCCGACATGAAATTTTGTGGAGACTCGGAATGAAGTACGATATACGAGCCCTAAAAATTTCATAGCGATTCCTCCAAAGGAAAAGGACTTATGGCCCATGGAATACCGCCAGAGCCACGAAACTTAGGATATTTGACGGTGAATTCCAGCAAGAGTAAAAATCGTTATACCAGTATATTATTCGTGAATCCTTTAGCCAATTCTATCGGAATTTTATCATTTCCGACCAATTCCTTTTCCGGAAAGAAATGGCAAGACAAATATTTTTCGATATCATGAAATAATTCATACATAGCTTTAATAGGATTTCAAGACCATATAGCTGATAGAAGAAAAATCATAAAAAAATTTCAGGAAATCCCTCCGACATGAAATTTTGTGGAGACTCGGAATGAAGTACGATATACGAGCCCTAAAAATTTCATAGCGATTCCTCCAAAGGAAAAGGACTTATGGCCCATGGAATACCGCCAGAGCCACGAAACTTAGGATATTTGACGGTGAATTCCAGCAAGAGTAAAAATCGTTATACCAGTATATTATTCGTGAATCCTTTAGCCAATTCTATCGGAATTTTATCATTTCCGACCAATTCCTTTTCCGGAAAGAAATGGCAAGACAAATATTTTTCGATATCATGAAATAATTCATACATAGCTTTAATAGGATTTCAAGACCATATAGCTGATAGAAGAAAAATCATAAAAAAATTTCAGGAAATCCCTCCGACATGAAATTTTGTGGAGACTCGGAATGAAGTACGATATACGAGCCCTAAAAATTTCATAGCGATTCCTCCAAAGGAAAAGGACTTATGGCCCATGGAATACCGCCAGAGCCACGAAACTTAGGATATTTGACGGTGAATTCCAGCAAGAGTAAAAATCGTTATACCAGTATATTATTCGTGAATCCTTTAGCCAATTCTATCGGAATTTTATCATTTCCGACCAATTCCTTTTCCGGAAAGAAATGGCAAGACAAATATTTTTCGATATCATGAAATAATTCATACATAGCTTTAATAGGATTTCAAGACCATATAGCTGATAGAAGAAAAATCATAAAAAAATTTCAGGAAATCCCTCCGACATGAAATTTTGTGGAGACTCGGAATGAAGTACGATATACGAGCCCTAAAAATTTCATAGCGATTCCTCCAAAGGAAAAGGACTTATGGCCCATGGAATACCGCCAGAGCCACGAAACTTAGGATATTTGACGGTGAATTCCAGCAAGAGTAAAAATCGTTATACCAGTATATTATTCGTGAATCCTTTAGCCAATTCTATCGGAATTTTATCATTTCCGACCAATTCCTTTTCCGGAAAGAAATGGCAAGACAAATATTTTTCGATATCATGAAATAATTCATACATAGCTTTAATAGGATTTCAAGACCATATAGCTGATAGAAGAAAAATCATAAAAAAAATTCAGGAAATCCCTCCGACATGAAATTTTGTGGAGACTCGGAATGAAGTACGATATACGAGCCCTAAAAATTTCATAGCGATTCCTCCAAAGGAAAAGGACTTATGGCCCATGGAATACCGCCAGAGCCACGAAACTTAGGATATTTGACGGTGAATTCCAGCAAGAGTAAAAATCGTTATACCAGTATATTATTCGTGAATCCTTTAGCCAATTCTATCGGAATTTTATCATTTCCGACCAATTCCTTTTCCGGAAAGAAATGGCAAGACAAATATTTTTCGATATCATGAAATAATTCATACATAGCTTTAATAGGATTTCAAGACCATATAGCTGATAGAAGAAAAATCATAAAAAAATTTCAGGAAATCCCTCCGACATGAAATTTTGTGGAGACTCGGAATGAAGTACGATATACGAGCCCTAAAAATTTCATAGCGATTCCTCCAAAGGAAAAGGACTTATGGCCCATGGAATACCGCCAGAGCCACGAAACTTAGGATATTTGACGGTGAATTCCAGCAAGAGTAAAAATCGTTATACCAGTATATTATTCGTGAATCCTTTAGCCAATTCTATCGGAATTTTATCATTTCCGACCAATTCCTTTTCCGGAAAGAAATGGCAAGACAAATATTTTTCGATATCATGAAATAATTCATACATAGCTTTAATAGGATTTCAAGACCATATAGCTGATAGAAGAAAAATCATAAAAAAATTTCAGGAAATCCCTCCGACATGAAATTTTGTGGAGACTCGGAATGAAGTACGATATACGAGCCCTAAAAATTTCATAGCGATTCCTCCAAAGGAAAAGGACTTATGGCCCATGGAATACCGCCAGAGCCACGAAACTTAGGATATTTGACGGTGAATTCCAGCAAGAGTAAAAATCGTTATACCAGTATATTATTCGTGAATCCTTTAGCCAATTCTATCGGAATTTTATCATTTCCGACCAATTCCTTTTCCGGAAAGAAATGGCAAGACAAATATTTTTCGATATCATGAAATAATTCATACATAGCTTTAATAGGATTTCAAGACCATATAGCTGATAGAAGAAAAATCATAAAAAAATTTCAGGAAATCCCTCCGACATGAAATTTTGTGGAGACTCGGAATGAAGTACGATATACGAGCCCTAAAAATTTCATAGCGATTCCTCCAAAGGAAAAGGACTTATGGCCCATGGAATACCGCCAGAGCCACGAAACTTAGGATATTTGACGGTGAATTCCAGCAAGAGTAAAAATCGTTATACCAGTATATTATTCGTGAATCCTTTAGCCAATTCTATCGGAATTTTATCATTTCCGACCAATTCCTTTTCCGGAAAGAAATGGCAAGACAAATATTTTTCGATATCATGAAATAATTCATACATAGCTTTAATAGGATTTCAAGACCATATAGCTGATAGAAGAAAAATCATAAAAAAATTTCAGGAAATCCCTCCGACATGAAATTTTGTGGAGACTCGGAATGAAGTACGATATACGAGCCCTAAAAATTTCATAGCGATTCCTCCAAAGGAAAAGGACTTATGGCCCATGGAATACCGCCAGAGCCACGAAACTTAGGATATTTGACGGTGAATTCCAGCAAGAGTAAAAATCGTTATACCAGTATATTATTCGTGAATCCTTTAGCCAATTCTATCGGAATTTTATCATTTCCGACCAATTCCTTTTCCGGAAAGAAATGGCAAGACAAATATTTTTCGATATCATGAAATAATTCATACATAGCTTTAATAGGATTTCAAGACCATATAGCTGATAGAAGAAAAATCATAAAAAAATTTCAGGAAATCCCTCCGACATGAAATTTTGTGGAGACTCGGAATGAAGTACGATATACGAGCCCTAAAAATTTCATAGCGATTCCTCCAAAGGAAAAGGACTTATGGCCCATGGAATACCGCCAGAGCCACGAAACTTAGGATATTTGACGGTGAATTCCAGCAAGAGTAAAAATCGTTATACCAGTATATTATTCGTGAATCCTTTAGCCAATTCTATCGGAATTTTATCATTTCCGACCAATTCCTTTTCCGGAAAGAAATGGCAAGACAAATATTTTTCGATATCATGAAATAATTCATACATAGCTTTAATAGGATTTCAAGACCATATAGCTGATAGAAGAAAAATCATAAAAAAATTTCAGGAAATCCCTCCGACATGAAATTTTGTGGAGACTCGGAATGAAGTACGATATACGAGCCCTAAAAATTTCATAGCGATTCCTCCAAAGGAAAAGGACTTATGGCCCATGGAATACCGCCAGAGCCACGAAACTTAGGATATTTGACGGTGAATTCCAGCAAGAGTAAAAATCGTTATACCAGTATATTATTCGTGAATCCTTTAGCCAATTCTATCGGAATTTTATCATTTCCGACCAATTCCTTTTCCGGAAAGAAATGGCAAGACAAATATTTTTCGATATCATGAAATAATTCATACATAGCTTTAATAGGATTTCAAGACCATATAGCTGATAGAAGAAAAATCATAAAAAAATTTCAGGAAATCCCTCCGACATGAAATTTTGTGGAGACTCGGAATGAAGTACGATATACGAGCCCTAAAAATTTCATAGCGATTCCTCCAAAGGAAAAGGACTTATGGCCCATGGAATACCGCCAGAGCCACGAAACTTAGGATATTTGACGGTGAATTCCAGCAAGAGTAAAAATCGTTATACCAGTATATTATTCGTGAATCCTTTAGCCAATTCTATCGGAATTTTATCATTTCCGACCAATTCCTTTTCCGGAAAGAAATGGCAAGACAAATATTTTTCGATATCATGAAATAATTCATACATAGCTTTAATAGGATTTCAAGACCATATAGCTGATAGAAGAAAAATCATAAAAAAATTTCAGGAAATCCCTCCGACATGAAATTTTGTGGAGACTCGGAATGAAGTACGATATACGAGCCCTAAAAATTTCATAGCGATTCCTCCAAAGGAAAAGGACTTATGGCCCATGGAATACCGCCAGAGCCACGAAACTTAGGATATTTGACGGTG